AGTTGGTGCGCGTGTTTAACATTCATAAACTAATGTAAAATTTACAAAAAGAAAATATGGAAAAAGAGCAAGTCATATGTATGTATGTGTATTTTCAAGATAAACCATAAATTGACGTCATGGTACATTTTTGTTTAGCCTTAAAAAATTAAAAATTAAAAAAAAAAACATAAAACACACATGTAAAAAAAGATTTATTAAACAATTTTTAACACTGGCGTTTACACCCTACACTCAACAAGTTGGTGAGGAAGTGGTTTATTTTCCTTTTTAATTCTCTGCCTAATTTTTGGTGATCCCTTTAAATATTTTGTTACTTAAAGCCATAAGTTATAAAAAGATTTTGTTAGGCGTCTTGTCCATTTGTTAGTTGAAATTAATTTCCCGAGGTCTGTAGATATCTTACGGATCCCTGATCTTGAATCAATTTATCAAATGTAAGTTCTAGAACTTTAAACGACAAAATCGGTCCATTAAAATATAATAAAAATCATCATCGCTACAGACTATAGACTAGACTATAGACTAGACTATAGACTAGACTATAGACTAAACTATAGACTAGACTATAGACTAGACTATAGACTAAACTATAGACTAGACTATAGACTAGACTATAGACTAGACTAAAGACTAGACTATAGACTAGACTATAGACTAGACTAAAGACTAGACTATAGACTAGACTATAGACTAGACTAAAGACTAGACTATTGACTATAGACTAGACTATAGACTAGACTAGACTATAGACTAGACTATAGACTAGACTATAGACTAGACTATAGACTAGACTATAGACTAGACTATAGACTAGACTATAGACTAGACTATAGACTAGACTATAGACTAGACTATAGACTAGACTATAGACTAGACTATAGACTAGACTATAGACTAGACTATAGACTAGACTATAGACTAGACTATAGACTAGACTATAGACTTGACTATAGACTAGACTATAGACTAGACTATAGACTAGACTATAGACTAGACTATAGACTAGACTATAGACTAGACTATAGACTAGACTATAGACTAGACTATAGACTAGACTATAGACTAGACTATAGACTAGACTATAGACTAGACTATAGACTAGACTATAGACTAGACTATAGACTAGACTATAGACTAGACTATAGACTAGACTATAGACTAGACTATAGACTAGACTATAGACTAGACTATAGACTAGACTATAGACTAGACTATAGACTAGACTATAGACTAGACTATAGACTAGACTATAGACTAGACTATAGACTAGACTATAGACTAGACTATAGACTAGACTATAGACTAGACTATAGACTAGACTATAGACTAGACTATAGACTAGACTATAGACTAGACTATAGACTAGACTATAGACTAGACTATAGACTAGACTATAGACTAGACTATAGACTAGACTATAGACTAGACTATAGACTAGACTATAGACTAGACTATAGACTAGACTATAGACTAGACTATAGACTAGACTGTAGACTAGACTATAGACTAGACTATAGACTAGACTATAGACTAGACTATAGACTATAGTCCAGTCTATAGTATAGTCTAGTCTATAGTCCAGTCTATAGTCTAGTCTATACTATACAAATAATATGTAAATGTCGAAAATTGGGCGCAGTGTGACATGCAATGCTATATCATCTTGGACTCTTATAAGGAGCAAGAAAAAGTACTTTCTATTTTTAGTATTTTCATCAAAAAGTACCCTTTTATCAAAAGTACTCTTCATAAATTTATTCAACTTCCCAAGCAATAATGACATAAACATTTAGTCGGTCTCATGCAGCTTTATACGTATTTCCCCCTTCTTCTGATTAAAACTTTTGATAAGGGAACAAAATTCACTTTAATCATTTATAACACTACCCCGCTTCCCCCTAAATTGATAATACAATTATGAAATTAGCATTATAAAAACAACTATTTGTATCAATATGCAAAATTAATTTCTTATCTTTATTTAAACTGTTTCTATTAAAAAAAAAACAATAACAAAAGCTGATTAAATAAAATACATTTTCTCTCTATGTATATTACTAATGCCGGGGGAAAAAATTAAATTGAAATTAAAACATTACATACTTAGAAAAATCAATAAATTTTCGCTTTTGTTTTTGTACAAATTTTCCTGAAACGTATAAATAATGATAAATACTCTCTGCATGTTGTTATTTTCTTTGTGGTGTTGAAAAATTGTTTATTTTAAAAGCCTCAGCAAGTTTGTTTTTATTCTGACCCACAACAGCACTCAATGGGAGGGGAAGACTTTAAGAAAGAAAAAGCCTCAACAGTCAACCAACTGACCAAGCAATATGTATTCTTATAAGGTCACTAAACTTTCAACAAAATCGTTTATGGTAATTTTTCAAAGAAAATGTTACAACACAAAAAAAAATGACACATGACCCTGAAAGATGTTTAAGAAAAACATCAATGCACTTAAAATTAAATAAATAGAGAAGAATATATATTATAAATAAATAATAAGCCAAAGTTGCTTAAAACTTTTAATTATATTTTTAATTTAAATATAACGTTTAGTTACAAAGTAAAAAACGGTTTTAAAGAGAATACTGTAAAACCCTCCCTCTGTTATATTGTTGTTGCTTTACTACATTTTCTATGTTTACATTACATAGAGGAATAGTGTGTTAATAAATTAAAGCATACCTTTAGGCTGCTTAATAATGTTAATTGTTACACAAACTGTAACAACATAGCACAGTGTTTTTTGAACTTTTAAGTTTTTCTTATTTTATTTGTTTTCTTTTTTTAATCTTTTCAGTTAAACGCCATAAATGAATCCAACGAAGTGCCATACCGGAAATAGTAAATGTTGAAAGGAAAAACAAAGAAACAAAATAAAACCTAAACAAAGAATTATCATAATTTTTACAACTTTTATTTTGTTTATTTTTAAAATACATATAATACAATTTGCTATAAATTCTTTTTTACATTAAAGAAGAAATAGCAAAGACAATAATACAAAAATAGCTAAACTAAAGAAGAAACAAAAAGCTTAAAATTACACCAAAAAGTACCTTTAAGTAGCCCACAAACCCATTGGATGAAAAAAAGTACGAATTATTTAAAAATTAAGCTCTCACAAACACATTGTATAACAAAAAGCTTTTTACGTTTTATTGCACATTTAACGTACACACACATACTATTAAAAGAAAAAGAAGAGATTACTTTCGTAAATCTAAGAAAAATAGAGAGAAAAGAAAGAAAGGTCGGACCTATTCGTGAATGAGAAATTCATGAAAATTATTAAACGAACTTCATACAAACACAAAAGAAATTGTATGAATTATATAAAGAAAAATGGCAGATAAACTGAATAAAACGACCTCTAGCATATCGTTAGATAAACAACAACCTATAAATATGACAAAAACAACTTCACCCCCAGCGCCCAATAGGGGAGAAGTATTGATAGTGACTAGGCTTGCAGAGAACATAACCGATAGCTATAGACTGGTTAAGCAAAAACAGCAAAAGTTTCATGATCTAACCAATCAACAGCATCATCATAATCATCAAAAGCTCTCAAAATTAACTAACAATGAAAGCTCTAACAATAGTAGCAGTAACAACAACAACACAAAGCTTATAAAGCCCATTTTGAAAGCGCCCACGGATGAGTGGCAAGAAGTTTGTTCACCCAAAAATAAACTTAAACGAAAGAAAACTTTATCAGCTTCCTTAACTTCAGTCACAGATTCTGTTAATCAAGAGAAAAGGACACGCATCGAGGGTATGCAGTTGAATTGTAGAGGTAGATTACATATCAAAGAAAATATTTCAACACCTACTACTCCCTCAGCAGTAAATACACCTGCCGCAGCAGCTCCCTCTAGAATAGAAAAACTAGCTGGCAAGCCACCCTTGCCACCCTCTTCCAAACAAACTCAGCCAACAGAATCTAAGGTTTTAGTAAATCCTCCGCCCAGACTAAAGCGTAAACTTCAGGAAAATGTTCAGACTATACAAAAGCTTAATGCTCTCACCGAGCAATTGCGTTTGGAAATCAATGAACTTAAATCGAGTTTAACCACTGAAAAAGGAGCTGTACGAGTTTTAAGGTTAGTTTTCTTTTATTTTAAATTAAAAGAAAATTTATTAATTTTATTTGTAATATTTTACCTACAGAGCCCAAAATGAATCTGAAGCACGTAAATGGAAAACTGAAGTGAAAAAGCTACAAAATGCTGTCGAGCTTTTAAAGAAAGCTGGTGCTAATAATAACAATAAAAAATGTGATACAGCCAGCACAAATAATGAAAACAACTTGCCACAGGCTGCCATGGGTGGCCTAGTCAATTATGAAATACAAAGACTGACAAATGAGATAAATGCCCTAAAAGAAGCCAATAAAGCTTTGGAGGAAAAGAAAGTGGTAAGTTTATGTTTTGTTTTCTAAAAGCATGTTGTTATCGTTGTTTTTTTATTCGGAATGTTAGAATTAAATTTAAAATAATATGCAATGAAAGCTCCTATTTGTGTTATGTTAAGCTTTAAAGTTTGAAGTTTTTAATTTATAAGATTTTTGTCTTTTCATATGAAAATTGATCTGCGAGTGTTGTAAAAGCTTTTTAGCTGTGGAATTTAAAGCTTTTTAACATAAACTAGTTGTTTACAATCGTCGCCCAGAACTTAAAAATGCCAATTTCTTAAAGCTTATAAAGCTTTTATGTTTGCATATTAGCTTGCTTCATAGAGTTATCATTTATCATACGAAAGGGTTTCATGTAAGTTTTAAGTAAACTTTTGATTAAAAGCCTCATTCTTTATTGCAAAGCTCACAAAAAAGCTCTTGTGGCAATCGATTTTTCATAAAAAAGCTCATTAAAAAGGTATTATTTTTACCAAAAAACTTTTTTCGCTAAGAAGAATTTTGTGATCAAAAAGCTCTATTTTGAATAGTTTATTAAGAAGGGAAATCAAAAGCTTTTCTGTATTGTGTTGTAACCAAGAATTCTTTATTTTTAGAGGCATTTTTAGAGATTTTAAGCACGGGAAATCATTCACTAAAACTTAAAACATTCTGTTCCTAAAGTTAAACATCAAGATTTAAAAACTCATAAAAACTTTTGCACTTTTGCCTAAACTCTGACGTCAACAACAACTCAAAGAGAAAACATATCGACGACACAGCCAACCCAAAAAATAAGAAACAAAATACTGCCTGATAATGTCTCAACTTAAGGACTACTGGTTCATCATCTTCAGAACGTCTTTTACGGGAAATACTTCTCCTAGAGCTGCGAAACGCCGCATTCATTAAACGATCCCAATAGTTAATGAAACCAAATTCCTGAGCATTACGTATTAACGTGTTAATAAAACCCAAATACGGTGAACCATAAGGCACAATATAAACCGCATGAAATGGAACAATACACTGTTCCATAACATGAAAAAGAGGTTGACCCCTATTGGAATGTTTTCTCGAATTGACATGAAATACTGAAACATGATATTTTTGCAAATAGGCATAGGACAAGTTATTCATTTCTATCAAATACTTGAATTGTAAATCGGGTATTTCGGTTAATTTGTCTTTCAACATGGCTCCATACATATTCTTAATATCTATGTAGCGGTGTATGTGTTTTAGATGACGTGGCAAAACGGCCATATGATAAGGACTCTCGACTAAATCCTTCATAGTATTAACATCCGGCAAATACTGGCGATCCACCAAATTACCCGTGAGATTACCTTTAAAAGCAGCCGATATTAACATGCCATATACCAGCCAAACGCACAGAAAAATACGTAAAGAGGTGGGCCGATGTAGCTTTAGAAAAGGCATGGCTATTATGCAGGCATACAATTGTAAAATAAATTTACTATTGAAACATATTCTTCTATAGCTTATAAGACAAAATCCACAGGCAAATATTATGGTGGATAAAATTGTAAACCATACTCCCATATTAAACGAGCGAAATAGATTCCAAAATGAGGAGGCAATTTTTGCTTTCGGCACCATGACACACAAATCATCTCGACTATGTACTATAGTATATTCCGCCCTCTTGTAAAAGGATTGCAAAGATAAGAATCTTATATTCACCGAAACGTCATCGATTTCCTCGACAATTTCTCTAAAGCAAATATCATTAGTAATCGAGGTATTGCCATAGGGTTTTACCCAATTTATAATGCGCGTAGCATTTAAACGTTCTGCCAAATAGCCCGACATTAAACCATCTGATCCTATTAATTGGTCGCGGTGATTATAAAACGAACGTATACCATCTTGATACATACACATACGCAAAGGTTTACCTCTCATATTCAAAATATTTTGGGGAAATATATCTCTAACTGTGAGATTATGATATCGTTCCTTGGCTTCTGTTTCCGGCAATAGTCGTTTGAGAAAGGGATCATAACGATGTATGTGTAATTTACCACCATAATGACAAATGACGGCTACGTTTAAAAGACGCATATTCCAAAAATTTTCAAAAGTATTTTCCAGCCATTCCGGCGTTACGGACTGAGAATCTTCTATCATAAGGAATATGAAGGTTAAATATTTGGAGGCTGATCTTCTGCGTAGAAAAGTTAACTGAACGGTTTGAGATATGTCTCGTAGTACCATTACCAAATACATGATTATGCCATCATCTTTGAGTATTTCTAGAGGCGCAGTGCGAAATTTGTTTCTAGAAATTAGAGGGAAATTTCACGTTATTATTTAAAAGTAGTTTTTTTTTCTTTCCATATTTCCACTTTGTGAAATTTGAAAAGATTTCTTAAAAGCTTTTTAAAAATGTTATCTCACAGGTAAATGGGAATTTCCCTTAAACGAAAGTGAATCTCTGTGTGTTTCTTTTTAAAATTTAATTTACTTACCTAAAAGATATATGCGATATGCCACAATCATTAAGCACTTTTAATATTTGTCCCGGAGAACTTAATGAGGTTTCATTTTCAAAATAAACATTTACCACTTTCACTTGAGAATTGCAGAAAATGCGGCTCGTGTAGTCAATCAGTCTTATTTTATACTTAAAATAAGTGCTTTCGAAAAGATAACTAGAGTCGTTCGCAGCACTCAAGGAAGTGATATAACAGCTGATGATAATAACCATCAAATAAAACCGACACATTTTCTCTATAATTAAAGGGACACAACTGTTACTTTAGCCAAAAATCCTCAGTGTTTTATAGCTTTCTATCAACACAGGACATAAGTAGTAGATAACAGTTATGCATACATATAAACAAGAGATGTCATGGTAATGACTGACTATCATTCAAAATGTTGTATAAACCATCATTGTTCAGTTATCACTGGTTGCCAATCATTAATTTTATTAATGAATATTTACTTTTGTTGTCTTTAGCAGTTTTTTTGTTTGTTTCCATTAAAATTTCTCAATTTTCACTCATTTGTATATGCAACATGTTGCCGCTTTCATTTAATTTCAAAAACAAACGAAATGACATTATCATTGCCACAGTCAGCCAGCCAGCAGCGTTAAGTGTTTGAAGGGAGTGTTTGTTGTTTTTTCTTTACTTGGGTGTATTCTTATTGAAACATTATTTAAGTTATAAGTTCAAATGAAAAAAAATTTAGTTTTACTACTAATATACTATTTAAAGAAAAATTGTAATTTTGTTTGCCTTGTTGTGTATAGTTTTTAAACTAATTTTGCATGTGTTGAAAAAAAAAACAATTCGCCCGCTATTTTTGGAATTGAAAGATTAACAAGTGTTTTTGTATGTGTGCGTCCCCGTTCCCTTGCGCAATATTTGGTTTACAACTCAATCAATCTTATAAAATCAATTTGGCGTTGTAATGACTTTTTACAGATTAATTGCGACGCTGATAGACGTAAAGCAGCTGATATACGCGAATTAAAAGATTCTTATGAAATCCGATTGACTCAAATACAAAAATCTGCCAAAAATGAAATATCACGATTGGTAAGTTTTAGTTTTATTTATATGTTTTCTTATTTGTGGAGTAAAAAAAACTAAAAATACTTTAATATGGAAGTTAAAAGGGAAGATTAAAATTTATGTTAAAAACATTTTGACAGATGACAGCTAAAAGCTAAGAGATGATACAAATGTTTATTTCCCCTAATTTTTTCAATATTTGTTTTTAAATCTTAAATGTTGAAGAGTGACATTTATTCCTTTGAAAAGAACTTTTTCATTTAAAACAATTTTTTAAATGAAATAGCTAATTTGAATAAAATTATCTTTTTCATTACAAAAATATTTTTTTAATCTAAAAGCTCCTTTCAGGAAAAAGTTATTTTTCATCAAAAATTATTTTTTTGCCAAAATGTTTTTCATTAAGAGTTTTTTTTTACAATTTCTTTTTATCCAAATGGCTTTTTTCATAGATTTTTTTCTAAATATTGTGGGAAATTTAGGGAAAATGAAAAGTTAATCAATAATTATTATCAAAAGTTTACAGTGAGAAAGAAATCTTATTCGAAAAAGCTTTTCTTTTCATCATAAAGCTCTTTTTTTTAAACAAGAAGCCCTTTTTTTAATCAAAAAATCTTTTTTAAGCAAAGAGCTCTTTTTAAACAAAAAGCTCTTTTTTAATCAAAAAGCTCTTTTTTAATCAAAAAGCTCTTTTTTAATCAAAAAGCTCTTTTTAAACAAAAAGATCTTTTTAAACAAAAAGCTCTTTTTTAAGCAAAAAGCATTTTTTAAACAAAAAGCTCTTTTTTAAATCAAAAAGCTCTTTTTTTTAAACAAAAAGCTCTTTTTTAAACAAAAAGCTCTTTTTTAAATCAAAAAGCTCTTTTTAAACCAAAAAGCTCTTTTTTTTAAATCAAAAAAGCTTTTTTTTTAACAAAAAGCTCTTTTTTAAACAAAAAGCTTTTTTTAAATCAAAAAGCTCCTTATTAAATCAAAAAGCTTTTTTCTAAAAAAATTCCTTTTCTAAAAAAATTGCTTTTCTATAAAAAGCTCTTTTGTAAAAAAGCTATTTTCTAAAAAGCTGTTTTTTAATCAAAAAGCTCTTTTTTGAACAAAAAGCTTTTTTCTAAAAAAACTTTTTTTAATCAAAAAGCTTTTATTTTATAAAATACTTATTATTTTACCGAAAAGCTCTTTTTTGTTGAATAGCTCTTTTTTTTAATCAAAAAGCTTTTTTATCAAAAGGCTGATTTTTAATCATAAAGTTATTCATTTCAAGGTATTTTTTTTTTTTAAATATCCAAGAAAAGCTCTTTTATTATCAAAAAGTTAAAAGCTCTTGAGCTTTTTCTAACAAAAAGCTCTTCTTTCACCAAAAAATTATTTTTTTTAAAATTTGATTTTAGCTTGAAAAACTTTTTTCTGATTATAAGTTCGAAAAACCTGAACAAAACAGATCACCGGAAATCCCTAATAGGTAATGGAATTGAGTAATTGATCAAATAATGCAATGAATTTCTTTAAAGCTTTGTCACAACTAATTCCATGTGTTTACTTGTTAAAGTAAAACTTTGTAAACATTTATAGTAAAACGCGTGAGAAAATATTTTGCAATTTGAATCCTTTAAAGTTTTTTGTTGTTGTTGTGACTCATTCATAAATTCATTCTTTATCTTGGACGTTGCAAGGCGGCGGCACAGTATTTGTTTAAAATATTAAACTGGTTCGCTCATTCATACAAAAAAATGTATTCTTTTGGGTGCAAACCAAAATAAATGAATGAACATTAATATTTTTTCTTTGGAAGCCTAAGGCCAACGGGCAAAATGTATACTGGGAGAAAAATTTTAGTAATAATTTTCAAATTTATGATTAAAAGTTTATACGATCGCGTCATATTCAGTACCAGATAGTTCTTTCCAGATTTCAGAACACAAAATTTGAAGTCTTATTATAATGCAATCTAATGAATTCTTTCACACAATTCTTTCGGTCAGTGTATTTTTGCAAATATGTTCGATTGCTGTTATTTAGTAATCACCGGGTTATTTTGGTGGATGTTGTGTAGAAATGCGATTAGAGAGCAGACAACAGATAGACAGGCAGGCAGCCAGGCCTGCAGCCAAAGGGAATGTCTTCTCATACTATATCTGAGTTCCCCCCTCCAACTATTTGGCAAATGAAAAGGTGTAACAGGAAGCCATCAAATACTGACCATAAAATAACACCAAAAAAATCGTCAAAATTTTTAGCAAAACAATTTTAACAAGTCAATGAACCTTTACGAAAACTTCGTTATATTTGAACTTTATTATTTAATAAGTCGTTGGTCGTCTCTACCAAATTGAGAAAATTGCAAGTGTGCATTAAGCAGTTTTGTTTTAAATAATTTTTAGCACATGTCATTTAGTTTATTAAATTTAAACATAAATTTTAATTTAGCATTCGGCGGTTTTACGTTTTTCCTAAGTTGACCAACATTTGGTTGTTAAAAAAAAATTATTTATAATTTTTTTTTTCTTCAACAAAATCATTTAAAACTGGCTGCATGTGGTGAATTTTGCCAAAGGAGATTGTTGCAGTTGTTATTTTTTTCTTTGCCACAAAAAAAGACACATTATTTAGTTATTTAATAGCTTTAAATGTTTTATGAACAAAATTGTGCGTTTTGGTTAAAAAAAGAGGTCTATTTTTTTGGTTTGGTTTTCGTACAACGAGTGTAAGTGTGCTTTTTGTGTGCGTTTTAAAAGCCTTTAGGCCAAATTGCATAAAAACTTCCCACGATTTGTGGTTTTACTCTCTGCACACGTACAAATTTATGTATGTTCAAATGAATTTTATTATTATGTATGTTATAGTTTAAAGAAATATATAAAAAATACGTTTAATTTTACAAAAAACCATAACAAAATAATTATTTTAAATGGTAGATAGACAGACGAGCTTGCAGGTAATAAATTTGTTAATTATAAATTTAAAGATATATTAATTAAGTTGTGTAAAAGACATTAATTATGTTACATTTATATTTGAATTTTTTTATGGTAAAAAATTTAGAATCGATTGTTATTTCGCATAAACATGTTTACATTGTAAAATACCCTCAAAAAACGATTAATTAGTGGAAAATATAAGCTTTTTTATAAAAGCTTTGAAAGCTTTTTTATAGTGAAAGCTTTTTAAAATGAAACCGTTTTAAGATTTGTATAAATATTTTTTTTACTAAAAACGTTTAAGCTTTCTTTAATAAAGAAAGCTTTTAAGCTTTTTTATACCCTCCACGACCATCAGTGGTGATAGAGGGTATATATAACTTTGTCATTCCGTGTGTAACACCAAGAAATATTCATCTGAGACCCAACAAAGTATATATATTCTGGGTCCTTATGAAATTCTGAGTCGATTTAGCTATGTCCGTCTGTCCGTCCGTCTGTCCGTCCGTCTGTCTGTCTGTCTGTCTGTCTGTCTGTGTAAAACACGCTCACGTTAAAACGAAGCAATATAATTTAACCAAATTCACCCAAAACATTCATTATTGTCCGGTACAGTTTGGTATTGAAAATGAGCAATCGGTTCACATTGGGAAAAGTTATGAATCAAAATTTAAAACAACCTCGAAAAAAATAAGCATTTTTTACACATTCTGATGTAATTTTCTCGAAAACTATGCAAGATAATTTCATGAAAGTCATCATACATTCGTTTCTACACAAGATATTTATTTCTGCTGAAAATTGCCAGCATCGGTCCATAATTTCATATACCTCCCATACAAAAGTGCATATTCCCGGAAAATGAGTTTTTTGTTAATAACTTCCGTCAGAATGTTGATTTCTTCACAAAATTTTACAAACTAAAATCTTATGTTAATAGAATTCATTGAGAGAAAAAATTTTCTGTATCGGCCCATACAAGGTCCCCTCCCGAAAATCACTTAAACGCGCATAACTCATTACTAAATTAAGATATCCATATAAAATTTGGAATAAGTATTGCTCATATGCACAGAAATATTACAGTGAAAGTTTTT